ATATTGGGCCATATGTCCTATGTAATCACTCCATAAATTAAATTGGAAACCAATTATTAAAAGGTCAAAAACAATACTTGATAAAGAAACTCAGTTATTCAATTGCACTTCAGTCACTGCCGGTCTGAGGATAAAGATGCGCCGCAATAAGGTGCCGTTACAAGGGACGTCAAAAACTGCATTTGTTATAATAATCAGCAATTAATATCTAAACAAAACTATATTATGTGTTGGTCAGGATATCTGTTAACTTGAACAAATTTGTTGCATGGGGAGTCAATATTAAATTACTGTTTATTTTGAAATTATTATCAGCAAAATTGTCGAATACAGTAATGAATTTACGCATTGGCAGACAGGCAGTTATCTTGGGGCGGTAATTTTGGAGGAACGAAAAATTTGAATGAAATTGTATTTTTAGATTCTAATGAATTATTAAGTATTGAAATATAGCTCAATTGAGTATACATTTGTAAAATAAATATTTGCCACCTAGATTTTTTTTTTTTTTTTTTTTTAACTAAGCAATGATATTTTTAGAGAGAAGAGCGGCAGTAGTTTCTATCATATATTCCAGTGGATTTGCGTAGGGAGAATTTTTTTTTCTCCTTCCTAACCTTTTAGGCTATATGATGAATTTCCCGGACCAGGGGAGAGGGCGGGGGGTTAATGCCAAGTTAAAAGACTCCCTTGGCACCGGACCGCGAACTCCCAATTATTTAATAATTTATAACTTCGGTTATCATGTTGCCAGATAATCTGCGGTGCTGTGGACACACGCGTTGGCCCGCTTGGCAACCACGCCCCTCTATCTAATTTTTTATCAAAGAAATAATTGTTTAAAATGGGTGAATCGTTGTGTATTATAAGACACGTTTCACGTCAAGGCTCTTGGACTATTGAATTGACGAAAGATGATTATAATTAATAATAACGTAACGCACCAGTATTTTAATGAATAAAGCTTTAAACAACAATTAAACAATATTTTCATTTTCTTTTAAATTTTGATTAGATTTTTTATATAAATTATGATAAATTGGAAAAAATCTTTAAAGTATTTTCCTGAGGAATGAAACGGAATTTAGAGGAAATCCTTTATTAATTTTTTAATTATAGTAATTACATTATAGAGGCTGTGTATTCCCAAGAGTTGCAATGCCAGGATCGATCCACGGCAGTTATAACAGAATAAATAACCTGCCACAGCTTGATCCGGGGCATTAGAGCATAGTGCCTTAAATACGGAGATACATCACTCTCTTTTTATTGCTATAAGCAATATATAAATATTTAATTATGTCTATCAAAGGTATTGAACATTTAAAATTTCTACTCAATTTAGTCAATCCTGTCCCTATTCATTCAAAGATCAAAAACGCAAGTATTATTTTACTCCTGTTACCACCTATATACTGATGATTTCCAAATTTACCAATCATTCAAACCTTATGAGATATCTAAGGCGACTCGAAACCTACAAGAGTATTGACTGCATTGAAAGATGGGAAAAATTAATGAATTAAAACTGGATGCAGATAAAACTGAGGCTATTCTTGTAGGGACCAGACAAATCATTAGTTCCCTTCCTCTACTTTACCTCAATAACCACCACATCAATTTTTCCCTATAGTTAAAAAGCTAGTCGTAACCTCTGACCAGAATAACCACATCTTTCGGACTACCCATGAAAATCCATAACTGTCCCTAAAAACCAGACAGCTCTTTGTAACCTCCCTTATATTCTCCCACTTCGACTACTACTGCTTCGTTTATCGAGGGCTCTCTGCCAGGCTTGAAATGAGTCTGAGGAAACTCATGAACTGTTTCATGAGAAACACCTTTGGGATTCTCATGTTTCCTTCTAGTACACCGAGTTGAAGTGGTTTTATCCTACTTCCTGACGACAATTCCTCCTTGGTGTTTTCCTTCTCCCTACTCCTGAGAACCAAAAACCCTTTCTAAATCCTGGAACTCCTTACTCTACGTCCTTCTATCTATTATCTCAATAACGAGTCTAAACATAGAGATTTATATATCTCCTCACATAAAATTACTTCCTCCAGAAAATCTATCGTCATTCGTGCAATTTTCATAACTATATATTCCTTTTGGAGTTCTTTACCTATTACTTACCTTCTTTTCCATAGATCAATCTTCGCCCACAAATACCTTCGAAAACTGCTGTCCCATCACCTTCTCCGTATTCAAACTTCTAAAGATACGTAAAATTTAATTGCGTCTATTCACTGTTTAATCCAATCAACTGCACAATTGCAATAATAATCAACAGTTAATTAGGCATCATTCTAAGCCAGGCTCATATATAGGTAACCCTGTTATTATTATTAGAGGACTGTTGTCCCAGGATAAAGTTAGTTTTCATTCATTCATTAATTATTTTTAGTGTGTTTAAGATGTTTATAGCTGTGATTCCGTTGCTTTATATAGCTAAATATTAACTAATCCCAGAATATGTGGGAGCTTCGTGCCTTAATTACTGTGCTACCCCACTCTCATGTTTTTGTTGTTATCAATAAAATAACATGATCCAGATACTGACTGGAGTAAATCAATCTAAACTTAAAATTTTACATGCTACAATATATGGTTTTAGACCCAGTTTTATAGAAGAACTGAATAGAAACTATATAAAAATAGATTTTAGCTTTTGATGGTGAGATTTGTTTTGGCTTTAACATGTAAATATCTCAAGAAAAATCACTAACTCAAAAACCATTCTGCAAGAATAAAGCTGGAGTTGCTCCTCAAACTTTGAGAGCCACAGGGGTGCCCATTTTCCCCAAGGCCCTCCTATTATTAATAACAGTCCAAGCGAAAATAAAATTATAAAGTTTGTTGAGCATATACAATTACACTGTAAGGTTCATGCTTTGCCTATGTATTCTGTGTCCCCTTAGGAGACAAATGAGTTTATGTAATCTGCGAACCCATCAGGAAAAAACTTTTTTTCGCGGACTCCATCCAAACCATAGGTATTTTGTTTATGTTAACGGTTAGTTATTTAGTTTACTATTCAAGTAATAACAAATACGAAATAACTAGTACATCTAGGATTATAATGAAATAGAGAAGTTAGGGGATGTAAATTTAATACTAAAACTGTTTCGCGGATCCTAGTTTTAAGAACCTCTATGTTATGAACTTTTTTGGAGGGTTGGAAAGATCAGTTCATCACAGTACTTTTTGATACATAGTTCATCGCAATAACCAACCACAACATATTTATGTATACATGCTGTAGTAAAATAGCTAATGTATAAAACACTCATTTGATTTTATTTCAACCAATTCTTCCCAAATTTTTTACGATGTTTTGGAATAAAAATTCTTATTATTATACTATTTAGACAAATAGTTCCAGTGACCATTCATGTTAATTTCACTTACTTAAATCTACAATCGGATTTACAAAGCTCTAAAAGTAATGGGATAGACCACGAACTTCTGGTCCTGATTTGAATCTAGCTGCTGCAGAAAATTTAATTTATGTCATATGAAATACTCCTTGGACACAAATCGGTGGCGAATTTCCGCATGACGACTGGACACGATTACCTGAAAAGGAATTTACATAGGATTGGAGTGATGAAAAGCCCTGTGTGCCCTCTTTGCCAAGAGGATGTGATGCACGACCTGCACTTCCCAGTCGGATGTCAGATGTCCGCAGTAATTTTTTTGTTGGGATTGGCACAAATACAAGCCATGGAAACATGGCGGAATTGTATTGGACTGCAAGTAGCCGAATGGCCTAATGGACAACGGCATAGGCATTAAATGAAAAAAAAGCTACTTTGACACACTCAGTACCAATAATTCTGAGCCTTAATTGTATTTCTTTTTGGATTATTATTTTCAATAATCAACCTTTGTAATTGACCATGAAAAAATTAAACCTCCTAAAAATTTGAGGTTTCACGTTTCAAGATACATAGAATTAGAAAATCGAATAAAAAGAAAATCCGCTCATCCACCGTACGTCATATGCGGCTTTTCTCCGAATCTATTGGACCCATTGTTTTGAGATTTGTCAACAATATCAAAATTGACCCTAAGATGATCTTCAGGACTAGAACGCTTACAGAGATTTACTGATTTCAATGATGCATGGCCAAAGACTTCCCCTCGGAGCTATTCAAATTCATTTATCTAACGCACTTCACCGAAAAGAAGCAGGAAAAAAATTTTAAGATTATTGTGGTAAAATTTAGATCCATTTTCAAGTTTACGATTTTTTCTAAAAAACGAAAAAAGAATTCTTGATTTGATGCAAAGATATATTAATCTAATATTTTCCATACCTTCTGTTGCAAAGCTAATAATCCTTATTATGGTTTTTTATTTCTTAAAAATCACATCAACTGAAGATATCAAGATTGTAGTCTAGATTTCTTAGCAAATTTCTAATGATGAAAAAAAATATATTGATGGAAATTTTAGGAATCACTTTTTGTTTATTCGCCTCTTTGTGACGCAGAAATTAGTGTTCTAATATTATTAAGTTATATTATTATATAACTGTTTGGAAATAATAAACCATAGTGTGATAATTCGCAGCGTTTTTTTATTAAGTGGATGTTCCTCATCGTCCTAAAAACGCATAACATATTTGAAATTAAAAAAAACAACAAATTTGTGAATGATTACCATGTCCCACCCCTTTCACACCTAATTAAGGAAGTAATGAGCAGTTTATTACTTTTTAAAATTGGTTTCCCCGCAAATATCATCTACCTATTGGGTCTGTAATAATTAAAACGGTAACAGAGGCTGAGATCAATAGATTGCCTTGATGAAGGCAAGCGGGTTCGAAGACCAGTTCATAGAATATGTTGCGATCGACGAAGAAGATACGATATATTTTAGCAATTGATCTGTTATTATAGCGTACATGCCAACTAATACTCCCGGCCCCGGGCTTTTCTAATTTGCATAGTGGCCGGTCCTGTTTGGGTTTTCCGCCGTCAGAGTGTGCGGGTGGCGTTTTATAAGGCCAATCTCCGGGTACCGGCTTCAAACATGTCTCTGGTCTTCTTCAGGGTAAGTAAACTTGTAACACTTCTTACAGATCGTAAAGATTGTTTTAAAATAGTTAAGTGGCGAAGAAAAATGTTATGAAAAATAAGATAACAACTCAATCGAAGGTATTTTTGAGATCGAAAATAACAATAGTACAATTTCATCTGTAATAATATCAAATTTTTGACTGAATTTCACATATTATAGAAAATATAAAGTGGACTATAGAAATCATTTTTTTATTAATTATTTTACTGTAAATAATTTATATTCATAGTGCAAAATAAAAAAATGTTTTGTATTTGTTTAATAACAGATGAAAATGATTTATAATTTTTGTTTGTACTCTATTAAATGAGCAAGAAAATTCGAATTTTCGAAGAACGTTCCAAAATTATTAGAATTACCATCGTATGAAAAGATTTGCAAAATTAAAGAGAACTCAAATTTTCAATACAGCAGTTCAAAGTTGTAAAATTTAAAGATTATTTATATAAGCCATTTAAATATTTTATCGAAACAACAAATAAAATGAAATATTTGGCAAATAAAAAAATAAAATATGTGAGCTATATCTTTTATTTAACCATCTGGCAATATAATAAATTAAAAAAAAAATTAATTCTTGATGAATAACTAAATATATTTATATCTCAATCATGCAATTATATTAATACGTAAATATTTAATTTTTTTTTATATTTTATATCTTCATTCATTAAAATTTGAAACTTTCCTGCCGAAGTAAAGTTAAATGTCGTTCTAATGCACACTCTATCTATATTGTTTCCTTTATAGCATTAGGCTACTAGTCAAGAAACTAAAAAATAAATAAAAATCAACAAATTTGCAATTGATATTTTATAACAGAATAGGCTATATTTTTATTTTGAATTTCAAATTCATGTTTAGTGTAATTAATATATATACCAAAATTTCGAGGTGTTTCTGGTGCTTACATTCTTTTTAATTGTGTGTAGGCGTGTAATTACTACCAGAGTACCATTTTTTCAATTTATGTGAACAAAAAAACAAATTGACCCAAAAATAAAAATTTGTTTTCAGATTTTAGACATAAAAAGAAACATGCAATTTTTAAATTATTTCTTCGATTTGATTGTTTATTACTTTTTTCTTACTTTATGTATCATACATATCATTGTATATGTATTAATTATAATATTGAGACAGATTGTAATATTTATCAATAAACAAATAATCCAGTCAATTATAATATATGTAATGTCCAAGCATAGGCTTGGATTTGAAAATCAAAATGGTTTAATACGTGTTATTAAACTTCTTGTCTTCTAGAATTAATAATTTTAAAAAGTTAAATTGAATTTGAAATCGCCCATTTGTGGGCATACAACCAGTATAGACTTGAGTAATTTCATTTTTAAAAATCATACTTGTAAGTACAACAGTTTTTATTACAATATAAATCGAGGTAAAAATATAATTAACTTGTTTTTAATTATTTTTCTTGTTTAAAAAATGTTTTTGAAATATAAAATTAACCTTCTTATTTAAGCCAAAATATTTTAATTAAAATGAAAATAGTGTTTTTTCTTTATCACAATATTAGTTTGTATTATCAATTCGTGGTGCTCCTTATAAAATAAGAACTTAAATAACCCAATTTTTATTTAACTAATATATATGATTCGTGACTTTTTACCATCCTTACTAAAGGACATATTTTAAAGCCTTAAAATATTAGTAAAACTCTTAAAAAATACTTCTAATCTACGTATCAGCATTAATTGAAAATTAAATTATTAAAAGGGAATTACTACATCAGATACACCTTTGAAGGGCCAAGTGAATAAAGAGGATAAGTGAATTTAAAAAAAAAACAATTAATTATTTCTATTTATAACGATGTAAAGGGATATGTTTCTAATGTTTCTTCTTTCCATTCACACAAATTTGATATTTGGTTCATAACCGATTTCCATTGACGATAAATATCGAGCTTTCCATAGATACACGGATTATAGTATACCGAGGTAATTTTAATTGTTTTCTAAAAATAAAAAAAATGAGACTTATCTCTTTTTATCCACTTGACCCTTCATTTGTTATAGTTGAAATAGAATTGATTCGTTAACTATGAAAGCATTGTGTGAGGTCAGACCTTATTTTTATTTTTATTTTTCTCTTGCACAGTATTCCTATGCAGAAGGGATTTATTTTCAAAGTTTTCAATACTCCATGTGTGTATAAATTAAAAAGAAAATCATAAGAAAGTAACTACAAAAAACAATAATAAAAAACTAAAATTTATATATAAAATAGTAATTTAAAGTATTGTGTCCAAATAAGCATATATCTAGATTAAAATAAGCGAATTTAAGATTTTAAAAAGATGTTGTGTGAATAGCAAAATCAAATAAAATATAGTAAAAAGTGTTCAGATCTTGTAGATTTGATTTCCCTTGCATTGATCATTTGTGTTCAAAACGTGTTATAATATTTATTATTTACTAATTTAAAAAAGATTCTTTTGTCTCTAGTACTCCTGGAAATCAATAATTAAGTTGAAATCAGTAGATAGATTAAATAATATTTGAAATATATTAGACTGCAAACTTGCAAAGCAACCAGTCTATCGTACTAATTTAGCAGCCAAAAAAACAGAACGGGAGTGATAATGAAATGATATCCAGAATGGAAGCCTCTTTATAAATTAGCTGTTGCTTTAAATAGCTTTATCACTTTTTACCTTTTTGATATTTCGAAGTTGGAAAAACGAACATTTTCTCTTATATTTATTAAATTTATCCATTAAAAACATCAGTTAAATAACAAAGTGAAAAAAAAATTATAAAACTAAAGTTTACTAATTAAGTATCCTATTCAATAGAAAAAAAAAACCTGGATTCAGATGAAATTGTCTATTATTTGATAACATGAATAAATAAAACCGCAATATCCGTTATCCGACTATAACGAATAATTTAAATTAATCTGTCATCTTAGTTTATTAATTAGATTAAAAAAAAACATTCAACGGATGAAAAATAATTGAATGAACAATTATCGAAGATTTTTTAAATATTTATCACTAGCAAATAAAATAATTATTTCAGATATGTTTTCCAATTATGTAAAGACAATCGACATTTTTATTTATCTGATAAAACGAAAATAGTCAAGAAGGATTATAGGAATAAATTAATTGAATACATTTCAAAAAATGCATGAATTTATAATATAAAAATATTCACCATCTATGCTTGTTAGTTCTAGGGTCATATCAATTTTACAAGACAATTAAAATAAATTTGAAAATGGCAGACAGCCAATTAAAAAATGGAAAAAAAAATCAAAATTAATAAATTTTATATTACGAAAACAAATGCAAGTTATCTCGCGAAATTATATATATATATATATATATATATAAACATCCTATATATTACTTCTAAAAGGTGTTTTTTTTTTGTCGGTACGCCATAACATCGTCAATTCTTCAAATCAAATTCAATGACTGACCACTCATTTTGAAGATATTCTTCTCCTTCACATGCGAAAAATAGTCCCCGAAATTTCTGTGGAAAAAGTTATGGAGGAAAAGAAACTTTATTTGCGAATAACTCAAAAAGTATGCATTTTTTTCTCGATTGTACCCATGATAATTAGAATAGATTATCAAATTACCTAAAAAATAAACAAAAAATCGGACAATTATTAACAAAGTTTTGGTTTACTTAATAATGTCTTCCGATTTAAAGATATTGCATTATGTAGTAGACTATTCTTAGTCTGCTACTTTTTTTTTTCCTGACTGATATATTAACTTTATTATTTCTTAAAGACATTTGGTTGTTCTTACATTTTATTTTTTTTAATAATTTAGTATAACCTATGATCGGGGCATTATTTTGCCTATATTACTTTTATTATCTTTCCAGTCAGAGTTTAAAAATAGGTACTAGCATAGCAATTTGTACAAATAGTTTAATATTATGTTCAATGGAATATTGTAATCGACCAAGGAAAAATATTAATTCCTTCACATAATACATAATACATAGGAACTATTTATTTCCGTATTGTTTTGCTATTTCTTTGCTATTAAATTAAATTATCTGCGAATTTTTCGCACAGGCCAACTAGTTTCTCTTTACTAGAGTTGAAAATAGTATTGATTTTCAAACCTAGTATTCAATTTCAAACCTTTGATAGAACAATTTTTATTTGAATGTTACTCTTTCAATTATCTGTCTATGGCTAATAAAGAGAGATCGGCAGAACTAGAAAACGTTTCATGATTTGAATATTTTCCAATAAAGAGTTCTTTCGTTACCCTACCTATTCGATATATTTTTATGTATATTGTTAACAAATTCTACTTTTCTACTCTTTTAGTTTAGAAAGAAGTATCCCATTGAAGTTTTAAATATTCGTAAGTAAAATAATTCAGAGTAAACCCGAATGATAAAAAGCACCATGAGAAACGAATTCATTTTGTGCTTATTTGACCGAAATAAAATACAATGAATAACGAATAACGAATGATCGCTTCTCATATTATTCTATTATTCGGATAATGAGTGGAAAATATTTTGATATCCGTCATCCGATTTATTCGAATGATACCCAACTCTATTCTATGGTACAATTTTATTATATCTTTAGCGTATCTCTTTTACCGAGAAATATTTATTTATTGATCATAGCTGAGTTAAGTTGGTAACATTGAAGCTGTGGTTCCATTATATTTTAAATCCTCGACCGATTTTACAGATTATATTTATCTTTCTTTTTACACGGAGATGGGAGTTCTCTTTTTACAAGATAGTGACAAAGCTTCGTGTCCTTGCGGATGCCGCTGGGGCGATAGTGTGGACGGGGACACGTAGCCCCTATTCTTGTTTGCTGTGAGGGCAATGTCGTTAGGGAATAGACTATTGTAGTAGGGTTTGAATCGCCGAGCCTGTATTTTTTTTTTAAAGTAGACACTATAATAAGAATTATAAAAGAAGAGATAATGACACCTCTGTAATAATTTT